GCCCTTGTCTAACTAGTTTCCTTGCCAGAAGGTCATGGGGGACGTTGTCAAAGGAAGGTCTTCCTGAAACCCAGATATGCTCCACTCATGGCATTCTCTGCATCTACCCAGCTTGTGATTCTATCGAAGTTTATTGTTCTTTTTCTGAGAGTTAAAATAAAAGATTCAAAGATAAGCCATAGTTTCATTTTTTAAAACTTTATTTAGTAGCAAAAAAACAAAAAACCCTCCAACACCTGTATACCTTAAGTTCAAAAATTCCAGCGATGAACCATAAAGTCATTCCATATCTGGAATGGAAAATTTCTGAGCCACCAAGGCAGGAAGGAAAACATTTGGCTTTTCAGATGTTTTAATCTACAGCCTCTACAATCTGCCAAGCTAGCTACAATGAACTGAAGCTGTATGCCAATACATCTTACAGGGCAGATGTTTCTTATCTTTCTTTGTTCATTGGCCAGCCTGAAACAATGGACAGACCTGGCTTTTTCTAAGGGTATCCGTAGAACAGAAGCAGCAGCTGGGATTTTCAGATTGGGCTGTCCAAATATGCACCTTGAAATATATTGCCACCTCAAGACAGTAATAAGAAGTGTTCTTTCATACTGGAATCACTGGATTGTTGAGGTTTCCGGGCTGTACAGCCATGTTCCAGAAGCATCCTCTCCTGACGTTTTGCCCACATCTATGGGCAAATCCTCTGTGGTTGTGAGGTCTGTTGGAAACTAGGCAAGTGAGGTTTATATATCTGAGGAATGTCCAGGGTGGGAGAAAAACTATTGTCTGTTTGAGGCAGGTGTGAATGTCACAATTGGCCACCTTGATTAGCATTTAATGGCCTGGCTGTTTTCAAGGTCTGGCTTCTTACTGCCTGGGGGAATCCTTTGTTGGGAGGTTATTAGCTGGCCCTGATTCTTTCTTGTCTGGAGTTACTCTGTTTTTGAGTGTTGTTCTTTATTTACTGTTATGATTTTAGAGTGTTTTTTTAAAGTGGTAGCCAGATTTTAATTTTTATGGTTTCCTCCTTTTCTGCTGAGATTGTCCATATGCTTGATTAGAATTGAATAGCTTTGCAGCTTCAAAGCATATCTGCTTCCTGCCTGAGGAACACCTTCCAACAAAGAATTCCATCAGGCAGGAGGCAGCCAAGCTTTTTAACTGCAATAATAATAATAATAATAATAATAATAATAATATTTATTTATACTCCGCCACCATCTCCCTGAAGGGGACTTGGGGCAGCTAACATGAGGCCACGCCCAAAGATACAATACAACAGAAAATGCAAAAAAACAGATAACAAAAATTACGTCAGAATAAAATACATACAGTAGCAAAGTAAAATAAATAAATAAAGAAAATTGACATAGCATAAAGTTGCAAGGCCATTCATTGCTACTCAAGGTGGCCAATTGCAACATTCACACTTGCCTCAAGCAGGCAAGGGTTGTTTCTTCCACCCTGGATATTCCACAGATCTTTTGGAAAAAGAAAATCAAATCATCTACTCAATGCCTTCGCAAATCTGCTGAAATCAACGAAACTTAAAATGGAAAGTGAGATGTTATGCAGTGAAGTTTAAAATCCCACCTGAAAGAAGAATTCACCAGAAATTCAGGAGCAGAGGGAAAAACAGAAACAAAATGACAATTCTTTAGAAGTCAAAATAGCTTCAGAGACATAAATAATAAGTATTTGGGGTGGAAAAACCATCCTGAAAATAATAATAATGAACAAAGCTATGCTATTTCATAAGTTAACACAGTGTTTTTCAACCTGAGTGTCGGGACCTCTGGGGGGGGGGGGTCACAAGGGGATGTCAGAGGGGTCGCCAAAGACCATCATAAAACACAGTATTTTCTGTTGGTCATGGAGGTTCTGTGTTGGAAGTTTGGCCCAATTCTATCATTGGTGGGGTTCAGAATGCTCTTTGATTGTAGATGAACTACAAATCCCAGCAACTGCAGCTGCCAAGTCTGTTTTCCCCAAACTCCACCAGTGTTCACATTTGGGCATATTGAGTATTTGTGCCAAGTTTGGTTCACATCTATCATTGTTTGAGTCCACAGTGCTCTCTGGATGTAGGTGAACTATAACTCCAAAACTAAAGGTTAATGCCCACCAAACACTCCCAGTATTTTCTGTTGTTCATGGGAGTTCTGTGTGCCAAGATTGGTTCAGTTCCATCGTAGGTGAAGTTCAGAATGCTCTTTTATTGTAGGTGAACTATAAATCCCTATAAAGGATTAAGAAGGTTGAGAACCACATGTCTAGGCCCTTTGGGGATTGTCTGGAGACTCCGCTTCCATCCTTTTAAGATTACCATTGTGCTTTGTCCCCTTTCCCTATATTTAACCCATTCCAAACTTGTGGGGCAGTGTCACCTGAGCGAAAGAGACACCTCTTGAGCGGGAACTGAGTGGGAACCCCTCTTTTCTAAATGTGACCTTAATGCCGTGCCATGGAGACTTTAAAAATTGTCTCATCTGCTCAAAGTAACGAGTGCAAAGTGTATGCCCCATCTGCAAGAGCAATTCTGCATGCAGAAAGGCAAGTGTGAATGTGAATGCTGCCTCTCACATGCCTGGCACTGGTTGTGACCCTTACATGGTCTGGGGAAATGGAAATAACATAGTGGCGGACCTGGAACAAAGCTAAACAAATGTAGATTTTTGCTCTCTTTCAAATACAAAAAGGATTGCCTAACTTCTAGAAACGACAATGTAAGGAAGCCCATTAAGGGGTCGCAGCATACAGAATCCCCATGTCTTGAAGGGACTCACTGGCGTCAGCCTCGCAGACTGTCCCTCACCTGCACATGTGCACCGAGCACACCTGCTCTCCCCTGTTTGGAGTCTCAGAAACAGCCCTGAGGCCAGTCAATCACAGTGATGGAGGGATTTTGGTGGAGGGATTCACCATCTCTTTCCAAAAAGGAAGGGACGGACAGGTGGAGAGATCTTCAGCCTTCTCTGCCAAAGGAGTTCCTAAGACCATTAGAAATATATGTTTTCTGATGGTCTTTGGTGACCTCTCTGAAACCTCCTCATGACTCCGCCCAGGTTTCTCAACTCCCAGGTTGAGAAACGCTGCTCTAATGTGAAATGAGGTATGAGTTGTTCCTCAAATTTCCCCCCTCAAAGCAATCAAATTCTTTTTTTCTCTGCATATGTTTGCAGACATACAAGATCTGAACTCAGGTCATGGCTTCAGGTGCATTCAGGACATTTCCGCGCCTCCTCTTCTGCTTGGCCTGCTTGCTGCTGGAATGTTTTCCCACACTGTGAACAGGTACAAACTTCCTCCACGACATGGAGCTTCTGATGTCGTAGAAGAACAGAGTTTGAGGTGAACATTTTCCCACAGTATGAGCAGGTCAAGGGACTTGGTCCTGTGTGGCTTTTCAAATGTTCGAGAAGACTGGATCGCTGATGAAAACATTCCCCACAATCGGAGCATTTAAAGGGCTTTTCTTCTGTGTGAATTAACTCATGTAATGCAAGGTCGGACCTCCACCTGAAGGTCCTGTCACAGTGGGAGCATTTATATAGCTTCCTTCCTGTGTGGCTCTTCCCATGACATTTAGGATTCGGGGAGTTTCTGAAGTTTTTCCCGCACATTAAGCACTTGTGCGCTTTTTCTCCTGCATGGGTTTTCTTGTGGATATTAAGGCTCCGTCTCTGGGGAAAACATTTCCCACAGTGGGGACATTTATGCTGCTTCTTGACTTGATGGATCTTCTGGTGTGCAGTGTGTTGCAAACTGTTCTCAAACGTCTTCCCACAGTCTGCGCATTCAAAAGGTTTTGCTTTGTGAGTTTGCATGTGTGCAGCTAGCTCTGAACTGACATAAAAGACTTTCCCACAAGCAAAACATACAAATGTGTATTTTGCTTCATGGGTCTTCTCATGTTCAGCAAGTTCTGTTTTCTGACTGAAACTTTTCCCACAGTAGGTGCATACTTCTGTGTGGATTCTCTCATGTGCAATTAAGCGTGAAATCCTGCTGAAAGACTCCCCACAGTCCAGACATATATATGGTTTCTTTCCTGTGTGGAGTCTCTGGTGCACTTTGAGAGACGAGTCATTTCTAAATATCTCCCCACAGACTAAACATTTACATGGGAGCTCACCTTCATGCTTTAGAAGGTCTAATCCCTGACTGCATATTTCCACGCATCTTGAAGATGCACGGGGCTTCTCTCCTACTTGCGTTTTGCCTTGTGTGTTCCTCCCAAATGTATTTCCACAGTGGGAACACCTGTGTGGCATCTGACCTTTGTGGGTCCTCTCATATTCTCCACACTGGGAGCATTTATACACTTTCTCACCTACATGGGTTCTCTCGTGAATCAGAAGGTCTGAGCTGCTGCTGAAGCTCTCTCCACAGTTCCAACATTTGTATTGCTTCTCCTCCACATCAAGATCTTCATGCTTTCTAATAAGGTCAAAGCTATGAGAAGAAAGTTCCCAGTGTTCATCAAATTTGGCTTCATTCCCCTCATTCCAGGTGGAGGATTCACTTTTGTACACACCTTGTGCTGGAAGAAACGGATCCTCAATTTTCACAGATGTAACCAGTTGCTCCATTTCCTCGGTACTCTTAAGGAGGGGGTTTTGCTCCTCCTTTTCGGTCGGCTGTGCATCAGCTGCTGGGAGGGAAAAATGGAGAAGAATCTAGTTATTACTCAGGTTGTGAGAGAACTTCACAGACTGGGCAGGCTCCATTATCTGACTCTTTACATGAACCCTCCAAGGTCCCTGATATAGTAAAACCTCCATGTCAATAATAATAACAACAACAACAACAATAATAATAATAATAACCCATCTTACTGGGATCTGCACGCATTATTCGCCAATACATCACACAGTCCTAGACACTTGGGAAGTGTCCAACATGTGATCTAATACAATAGCCAGCAGAGTGTCTGCTGTGAACTCATCTTGTTGTGTTTCAAATAATAATAATAATAATAATAATAATAATAATAATAGTGCTCCATGCAGTCATGCCAGCCACATGACCTTGGAGGTGTCTATGGACAATGCCGGCTCTTTGGCTTAGAAATGGAGATGAGCACCAACCCCCAGAGTCGGACACGACTAGACTTAATGTCAAGGGAAAACCTTTACCTTTATCTAATAATAATAACTTTATTGTCGAAGGCTTTCATGGCCGGAATCACTGGGTTGTTGTATGTTTTTCCGGGCTATATGGCCATGTTCTGTAGGCAACTTTTCTCCTGACATTTCGCCTGTATCTGTTGGAAGTAGGAAAAATAGGTTTATATATCTGTGGAATGACCAGGGTGAGACAAAGGACTTTTTTCTGCTGGGGCTAGGTGTGAATGTTTCAGCTGATCACCTTGATTAGCATTCAATGGCTTGGAAGTGCCTGGGGGGAATCTTTTGTTGAGAGTGATTTTATGTGCCTGTTTGTTTCCCCTCTGTTGTTTTGCTGTTGTAATTTTTGAGTTTTTTTAATACTGGTTTAATCACTCTCAACAAAAAATGTTTTTTAATCACTCTCAACAAAAGATTCCCCCCGGGCACTTCCAAGCCACTGAATGCTAATCAAGGTGATCAGCTGAAACATTCACACCTAGCCCCAGCAGAAAAAAGTCCTTTGTCTCACCCTGGTCATTCCACAGATATATAAACCCATTTTTCCTACTTCCAACAGACCTCACTACCTCTGAGGATGCTTGCCATAGATGCAGGCGAAACGTCAGGAGAAAAATTGCCTCCAGAACATGGCCATATAGCCTGGAAAAACCTACAATAACCTAATAATAACTTTACTTTTGTACCCCATCTCCATCTCCCTGAAGGGACTCGGGGTGGCTTACATATGGCACAATGTGCCAAGACAAAGCATAAAATAAACACACAGTACAATGCAATAAAGTAAAAAAACTATCTATATAAATAAAAATGCAATGTTCGTTTGTGGGATTAACATAACTCAAAAACCACTGGACGAATTGACACCAAATTTGGACAATACACCTATCAGGCCAACAAGTAACCATCACTCATAAAAACACTGGAAAACAAGTGGAAAAGACATAAAAAGCTAAAAATAAAAATAAAAAGATGCATTCACATATATACACACACAAAACATATATACACAGACTGGGCCACAGCAACTCGTTCTTGAGGACCACTGGTGGTCCCATCAATTGTGGTGTCCAAAATGTGAACCCTGCTTATGGCACTCCACTCATCACTTCTTTCCAGGATGAAGAGGAAGCATCAGGAAGCACCCTCTGGGTTCGTTCGCTTAATTACAGATCCACTTAACCGTAGTTTTGTCTAGCCCACACTTGACTAGTTTGTTTGCCAGAAGATCATGGAAGATCATGGAGAACCTTGTTGAAGGAAGGCCTTCCTGAAACCCAAATTTTGAATGAGACCTAGCCTGTAGGACTCCTCTCAGTATCTCCTGATTCTCCCATGCTAAAATGTGCCCCACAAATAGCCAGAAACTATGCAAGACAGTAAAAGATTAGCATCAGAATTTTTTTTTTCCACACAGAACATATAGGCTCTTCCATTAGATGTTTTGCTATGCAGGAGCCCATCATCTTCAAAAAGCTGAGTGACAAAAATGGTGCCTCAGAGGGTCAGGGAGAAAATAGAAGAAAAGACTGGACAAGTATAATGTTGGAGATTACTGAAAAATAGGTCAGAAGAGGAGTAAATGCCAAGGAAAAGAGAAAAAGCACCAGAGAAGGGGACTCATGCAAAGCTGACACTTCTATTGGTATTAAATGAAGCAAGTTCTGGAGAGACTTACCCAACACATTTTCATTCCCAGTATCTTCATCCTCAGTCTTCACTGGATCCTCCTTCATCTTGGACGGATTTATAGACTCCTCTTTGGACATCCCTGTGATCTGGAGGAAAAGATGGAAATCAAATCAAAAGTCAGGAGAAAGCAGAGCACATTTTAGGAGGGTGAACGACTAAGGGTATAATTACAAATGGATACTTGTCAGGAGATAATTTTACAACATCTTTGAAGGACTGTAAACATGACCTAGGAAGCTATCTTTTATTAGGTCACATCATTTGTCCCTCTATTATTTTACTCTTTTTTATTACATTTATTATTTTATTCTATTATTATTACTTATTATTATTATTATTATTATTATATGGAAACAATATAATTGACAAAATCACAATCTGTCAACTGCAAAAGACCACCTTACTTGGATCTTTGTGCATCATTTGAAAATACATCACACAGTCCTAGATGCTTGGGAAGTGTTCGACTTGTGATTTTGTGATACGAAATCCAGCATATAGATCTCGTTTGCTCTGACATACTGTATTTTTGTGTCAGTAAAATAATAATAATAATAATAATAATAACAACAACAAAAACTTTATTTATAATCCGCTGTATCTCCCCGGAGGAACTCAGGGCAGATTCTAAACATAAAAGGCAAACATTCAATGCCCGAATACAACAATACAACCATATTAACAAAATTTAAACAACTTTATTATCATTACACTTTATTATTGTTGTTATTATTACATGTATTACTTTACTACTACTACTACTACTACTACTACTACTACTACTACGATGATGATTATTATCCCATCTCATCCTACCAAACCCTTTTAAGCAGGATATGCTAACGACTGAATCCATCTACTTCTGGGTGAATAGTGATAGACCCACAACTGTAGAAAAACACTTACTTCTGGAGGGACGTCCAAGTGACACAACTAGCAGACATTTGCAGTACACTGTGGAGTTATTGTTCCCCCAGCTATTTCTGATGACCACATATGTCTGTCACCACACGAAGTGGGGAAGAGGGGAGTGGCCTCCCTCATGCTGCTGTTCTGCAGTCAACGGGGACAAGGGTACTCAGATGAAGCCCCTTGCAAGTCCTCTAACACAGGCTGGGCTGGCTTCTATAGCCTTTTTCCCTCCAGGTGTTTTGGACCAGCTCCCACAATTCCTAACAATCAGTAGGCTGTTGGGAATTGTGGGAGTTGGAGTCTGAAAGGCCCGGAGGGCTGAGGTTGGCCCATGCCTGATATAGAGGAACAGTCTTATCTTAAACTAGCCATCCCCTGCCATGCGTTGCTGTGGCCCAGTCTGTGTATATATGTTTTTTGTGTGTATATATGTGTATGTGTGTTTGTGTATATATGTGGTTTTGCGCATGCATTGTAATTTTTTTTTGTTTTCTGGTTTTTTTTAAGTCTGTTCTGTTGTGTTTTTCAGTGTTTTTATGAGTGATGGTCACTTGTTGGCCTGAAAGGTGTATTGTGTCCAAATTTGGTGTCAATTTGTCCAGTGGTTTTTGAGTTATGTTAATCCCACAAACGAACATTACATTTTTATTTATATAGATTACAATCTTATGTAAATACTCAAAAACATTGAATCTACTGATGCATTTCCTACCCTCGGCTTATACTCGAGTTAATACGTTTTCCCATTTTTGGTGGGTAAAATTAGGTGCCTCGGCTTATATTCAGTTTGGCTTATACTCGAGTATATACGGTAATTCAGAAATGTCTGTCAGACCTCTTGAAGCTCCGTCCAGAGGTTTTGAGGCCCATCAACATCTTGCCAGTTCTATGCCCAAAAACACTGGCGTTGCATCTCCAACCCAATGGCATCTTTATTCGACATTCCCTCTTTCCCAGATTGCGTGGCACCCCCTGTAAATTCCCCCAATGAGTGCTGGCTGAATTAGAAAACATACCATCCTGTGATATGGTTATTGGCCTTGGTTATTACCTGTCGAGGAACCTGAAGGTCAGGTTGTTGCTGGGTTTCCCCTCCCAAACAAGGAGATTGTATTGTCTTCAGAAATACTTCCAACTGAGCATCCCAAGTCCTTATTGGCTCTTCTTCTGGTTCCTGTTTTACCCTTATTTCTGCTTCTTCTCCACTGCTTCCCATTTTTGAGAAAGCGACTCCATCTTTGACCTCTTCTGCTTCAGGTCCTATTGAATCCTGCACCTCCATTTTAAATTCTGGATCCAGCAATCCGTTGCCCCCCGTTTCTTGTATCTCAGCCATTGTTTTCCAACAAATCTTCTTTGTTATGCGTTTCCCTCTTTGCTTTTCAGTACCAGTTCTTGAGGGATGTCATAGCCCTGAAGCTATAGCCTTATAGCCAGTGAGAGCCAGTCTTTCTGCATAAGGATAACATTGCCTTCTGCTGCAAAGAGAAAAAGACAAGCTGTTAAATTGAAATATAAAATGTCTGAAAATTTCTTTATTAAGAGTGGGCCAGTGAGAATTTCGGGAGGGGAAACCCAGCAACAACCTGACCTTCAGATTCCTATCCAGGTAATAACTGAGGCCAATAACTGTTGCAGTCTCCAAATAATGTCTGATCCAACCAGAAATTATGTCACATAGAAAATAGACAACAAAATAGCTTTGTTGTCATTGTACTACACTGTACTATTGCACAATGAAATTAAAAGCTTTTCCCAGCACATATCACAAAAACAACATAGCCACAGCTCTAGGATAACAGCTATCTCTCAGTATATCTCTCCTTGTTTTTGTCACCCTGTACCATTCGCCAGATGACAATAATTCAAAAAAAGAATATGTTCGGTAAGATGGAGCTTTCTTAAGGCTGCAGGACTTAGAAAGTTCTTCCAAAAAGGAGAAAGAAACCAACAAGCATCTGTGCAGTAGTGAAATCACCTTTGATTTCATTTAGAATCCATTTCGAGCCACTTGTTTCAGTAGAATTTGGTAAAATAGGTGATGGAGGCAAAAATTTCAAATATTATATTTTTGTTCTATTTGGTGGTTTAAAAAGACATTTAAATGAGTTCAGGGCCATATGGATGATCATAGAATCTTATAGTGGGCCATTCAGTCCAACCCCTTTCTGCCAAAGAGCAGGAAAATTGCATTCAAAGCACCCATGACAGATAATCATCCAGCCTCTGTTTAAAAGTCTCCAAAGAAGGAGCCTCCACCACACTCCGGGACAAAAAGTTCCATCGCTGAACAGCTCCTTCCTTTGACTTCCCCTCACATATTTATACATGGCCCTCATCATGTCTCTTTTCAGCCCTGATCCTTTGAGTCGCCCTCCTCTGGACATATTCCAGTTTGTCAACATCTCCCTTCAATTGCGGTGCCCAGAATTGGACACAGTGTGAGGGGGAAAAGGAAAGGGCCTGAGGCTGTTAGGAATTGTGGGAGTTGAAGTCCAAAATACCTGGAGAGCCCAAGTTTGCCCTTGCCTGGTATAGAATCATAGAATCAAAGTGTTGGAAGAGACCTCATGGGCCATCCCGTCCAACCCCCTGCCAAGAAGCAGGAATATTGCATTCAAATCACCCCTGACAGATGGCCATCCAGCCTCTGTTTAAAAGTTTCCAAAGATGGAGCCTCCACCACACTCCGGGGCAGAGAGTTCCACTGCTGAACGGCTCTCACAGTCAGGAAGTTCTTCCTAATGTTCAGATGGAATCTCCTTTCTTGTAGTATATAGTCATTGGAATTACTGTACACCACAGGCTGTCTCAGGACCCTTCCACACAGTCATATTTATTAAGGCAGTTTACAGTTGGCAACAATTCAATGCCCGGAGTGTGGTGGAGGCCCCTTCTTTGGAAGCATTTAAACAGAGGCTGGATGGTCATCTGTCAGGGGTGCTTTGGTGCTGAACCTGACTCAGCACATAGAAGATGGCTTTGAAAGGCAGCAGATCACAGGAGCTGTCTTCATAGACGTGTCAGCAGCCTATGATACTGTGAACCACCGCCTCCTCCTGAGAAAAATGTATAATATCACAAAGGACTACCACCTCACCCGCCTCATAGGAAACCTGCTACAAAACAGGAGCTTTTTTGTTGAGTTCCAGGGCCAGAGAAGCAGATGGCGGAAACAGAAGAACGGCCTGCCTCAGGGGAGCGTGCTTGCTCCATCCATGTTCAACATCTACACAAATGACCAGCCACTGCCAGAAGGGACAGAGAGTTTCAGCTATGCTGATGATCGTGCCATTACTGCTCAAGCAGGGAGCTTTGAGATGGTTGAACAGAAGCTCTCCGAAGCTCTAGGTGCTCTTACTGCCTATTACAGGGAAAACCAGCTGATCCCTAATCCATCTAAAACACAGACATGTGCCTTTCACCTTAAGAACAGACAAGCATCCCGAGCTCTGAGGATTACCTGGGAAGGAATCCCACTGGAGCATTGCGCAGCACCCAAATACCTGGGAGTCACTCTGGACCGTGCTCTGACCTACAAGAAGCACTGCCTGAACATCAAGCAAAAAGTGGGTGCTAGAAACAATATCATACGAAAGCTGACTGGCACAACCTGGGGATCACAACCAGATACAGTGAAGACATCTGCCCTTGCGCTCTGCTACTCTGCTGCTGAGTACGCATGCCCGGTGTGGAACACATCTCCCACACTAAAACAGTGGATGTGGCTCTTAATGAGACATGCCGCATTATCACAGGGTGTCTGCGCCCTACACCACTGGAGAAATTACACTGCTTAGCCGGTATTGCACCACCTGACATCCGCCGGGAAGTAGCAGCCAATAGTGAAAGGACCAAGGCAGAGACATTTCCAGCTCATCCCCTGTTTGGGTATCAGCCAGCACGTCAACGACTTAAATCTAGAAATAGTTTTCTAAGATCTACAGAGACACTCGCTGGAACACCTCAGCAAGCGAGAGTCCAAAAGTGGCAGGCTCAAACTCAGGAACCTCAACCAATGGCTGATACCAAATGAGAGACTCCCTCCTGGGCACACAGAAGACTGGGCGACTTGGAAGGCACTGAACAGACTGCGCTCTGGCACCACGAGATGCAGAGCCAACCTTCAGAAATGGGGCTACAAAGTTGAATCCACGACATGCGAGTGTGGAGAGGAGCAAACCACTGACCACCTGCTGCAATGCAACCTGAGCCCTGCCACATGCACAATGGAGGACCTTCTTGCAGCAACACCAAAGCACTCCAAGTGGCCAGATACTGGTCAAAGGACATTTAACTAACTACCAAACTCACAAGTTGTGTATTTTTCTGTTTGCTTTGTTCTGTTAGAAATGTAATATATAATGGACTGGTTGCTCTGACACGACAAATAAATCTGGACCCCAGTTTGAGAACCACTGCCTTAGAGTGTATCTCCACCAGACCTGGGCCAAGTTGGGCCCTCCAGGTGTTTTGGACTTCAACTCCCACCATTCCAAGCTCTTCTTCCTGTTGATCTTATTTACAGTCAGCTGAATGAATCCCTTTTATTGTCTCTCTCTCTCTCTCTCTCTCTCCAGGCGCTCTTTTACCTGACCTGCTCCTCCCTCTCCCACGTGGACACCGTGACGTCAAACAAGCAGGAAGCCGGAAGGAACGTTCAGCTGAGCAACTTCCCTTTTCTGGGAAATTTCGCCGCTCTAGGAGGCTCCCTCTATGGCTTTAACCCCTTCGCTGCTCCACAAGGGGGAGGGGAAAAGGCTTCCGGCTTTGACTGCCTCCCAAGACAGCCTGCTCTCCTCTTTCCAGCTGCTAATCGCTCCTCACTCAGCACTTTATGTAATCCACAATCAAGACTGATGTGCTCATATCTATATAGCCATGTGTAAGTCTAGACATTGGGTTGCTTTTCCGGGCTGTATGGCCGTTTTCCAGTAGCATTCTCTTCTGACGTTTCACCTCCATCTGTGGCTGGCATCTTCAGAGGTCTGTTAAAAGTGAATCAAGTGGAATGTGTGTGTGTGTGTCTATATATATAAAATAATGTCCAGGGTGGGAGAAAGAACCCATGCCTTTTTGAAGCGAGTGTGGACATTGCAATTAGCAATGAGTAGCCATGGAGTTAGCAAAGTCAATCAGTGAGGGTATCTGCGTAGAGATCCTCTCGCCTCTGCAGGAGTCTACCTTATACCATGCAGTTATGGACATGTCTACATAGGGAGCACCAAACAGCAGTGTTGCCCAGACACAAATAATAATAATAATAATAATTAATTAATTCACCGATACATCACACAGTCCTAGACACTTTGGAAGTGTCCGACGTGTGATCCAACACAACAGCCAGCAGAGTGATCTTGTCTGCTGTGGACTCATCTTGCTGTGTTCCTAATAATAATAATAATAATAATAATAATAATAAACCAAAACTGAAATCCAGTCTCAGACTAACACTGTCCGAATCTTTAGCACTGTGTCACCAGACATTTGCTGTGACATACTGTGTTTTTGGGTCAGTATACTAATAATATTATTATTATCATTATTATTATTATTTGCCAATACATCACACAGTCCTAGACACTTGGGAAGTGTCCGACGTGTGATCCAATACAACGGCCAGCAGAGTGATCTTGTCTGCTGTGGACTCATCTTGTTGTGCTTCTAATAATAATAATAATAATAATAATAATCCGAAACTGAAATCCAGTCTCTAACACTGTCCGAATCTTTAGCACTGTGTCACCAGACATTTGCTGTAACATACTGTTTTTGTGTCGGTATAATAATAATATTATTATCATTATTATTATTATTTGCCAATACATCACAGTCCTAGACACTTGGGAAGTGTCCGACGTGTGATCCAATACAACAGCCAGCAGAGTGATCTTGTTTGCTGTGACTCATCTTGTTGTGTTTCAAATAATAATCATCATCATCATCATCTTTATTTATACCCCGTCACCATCTTTCAATGAATGAATAATAACCCCTGATCCTGACCAAATCCTGCATAAAATGTCCTCTGAAGCACTTTATTCTACCTTTTAGTGCAATTAAACCTTACTTTTGCCCTTCTGATCCTTGTTTAGATACACTACTTGGCCTGTTTCAAAACACTGGTTAATTCTTTTAATTCTTGCAACTCGCCATGCCCAATTACTGTTATTTTATATTGTTTGGTGTGTTCATCTATATTGTTTTTGTATTTTATTTCATTTTAATTATGCTCTACTATATGTATCTCATGGTGTTTATCTGTTCTGATGTACTGTTGGGCTTGGCCATGTAAGCCACCCAGAGTCCCCTTGGGGAGATGGTGACGGGGTATAAATAGAGTATTATTATTATTATTATTATTATTATTATTATTATTATCTCCCCGAAGGGGAGTCGGGGCGACTAACATGAAGCCAAGCTCAGAATTGCAGTGCAACAAAATAGAATAAAATACAAACAGCAACTAATAGCATCAAAATAAGATACTTAAAATAACAGAATATGAAATAAACAGATGCAAAATAACTTGATGAAGAAATAAAATAAAAGCATGGTGGGTGGGCCAAATGCACAGAAGATGGATAAAACCCTGTTGAGATAAGTAAATGGAGAAGTATGTCTCAGAAGGGGCAAACAATGGAATTGGGCATTGTGCTATCGCACGCTGGGCCTATGACAATGTCTGTTTACAGGACGTGCTTTCTGTATGCCCAACGGGACGCCAGGGTGCCTCAGCTAAAGGTCCCATAGGTTTCCCAACACAAAGTTCTGTAGAAGCTCAAAATAAGTCCAACAAAGTTCTTTATTAAGGTTTAAATCTTAGAACAAATGAATTAAATGCTATATAATCTTGAAAAACTGGTAGCTTTCTCGATCTGCTGACAAGGGACAGGCAACTGCTTGATAAACTGTTCCTATCTGCTTTAGGGAAACCTTCCGACCCCTCCTTGGGCAATCTTTCTTAACCCTGCTGGCATGAGGCTCCAACTCCCAGCTCCAAGCTGCGTTATGGATAGCCCGAGTGGTCCCTTACCAGGCAATGGTTGCTGTAGATCTGCCAAGCTGGCATCCTTTTAGTTTCTCCACCAGGGCTGTAGGAACTATTTCCTTTGTCCAGCAAAGGCTGGCTGTATTCCTTCAGCAAAGCTGTGGAACTGTAACTTTACTCCCCAGAAAAGCTGTAGAGGTTTTCCCTTTTTCCCCAGCAAAATCTGGCTTTAGATCTATTTCTTTAACCCCAGCAGAGCTGTAAGAAGCAAAGCTTTTTACAGGTGGGACAGAGAATAGCCCACACGTCCTACTGTAAGGCTCCAAACTGTAAGGCTGAACTAAAAGTCCCCTTTTCCCTCCAAAACCTGGGGAAAGGGGTGGATCTAAAGGCTCTAATGATGATTTATAGGTTGTTGGCCCTATGATTGCAACCTGGGGAAAGCTACCCAATTGCAAATGCATGACCCAAATGGATTCATGCAAACTAACAGTGCAAGAAAAAGAAATTCAAATCTCCTGGCACAGCCGTGCCAGCACAGGCCTTCATTCAAGACAAGGAAAAATGCATCATGAGGACAGAACTATAGTTGGGACGGACATGATATGGGGATATGTGTTCCCTCGTCAAAGGCATGCCAGAAGAGCCAGGTTTTTAGGTTTTTCTTAAAGGCTACCAGGGTGAGGGCTTGCCTAATTTCACTAGGTAGCAGTACCAGAGCCGAGGGGCATGAAAGGAACATGAAAGGCACTGCAGACTACTTCAATCAGGGAAGTCAGCCATAGCAGAGAACTTGATAAACCAACCTTTCTTTTTTTGAGAGAGAGTTACAAGAAAGGATTCAGAGACATAGTTCATTTTTCAAAACCAAACTTTATTCAGTAACAAAGAAAAAAGAAGGAAAATTTCCAAAATTCCAGTGATTAACAATAAAGCCATTCCATATTTGGAATGGACATTTCCGAACCACAAAGGTAAGAGTGCAAAATATTGCCCTTCCAGACATTTTCATCTACACAACTCCTAAAACTGGCAAGACAGCCTGCTATGAAGGGAAGTTGCTGCCCAAAACATTTTCTTACCCTAATTTCTAAAAAAACAAACAAACTCAAATTGTGCTTGTTGGCCAGCCTGAAACTATGGAAGGACCTGGCTTTCTAAATGCATACATCCACAGAACAGCTGGGGTTCAAGACCAGGCATGGGTGAACTTTGGCCCTCTGGGTGTTTTGGGCTTCAACTCCCACCATTCCTAACAGCCTCAGGCCCTTTACTTTTCCCCCTCAGCCACTTAAGCTTAAGTTATATAAACCCCATTTTCCTAGTTTCCCACAGACCTCACAACCTCTGAGGATGCCTGCCATAGATGCAGGTGAAACGTCAGGAGAGAATGCTTCTGGAACAAGCCCAGACAGCCCGGAAAACTCACAACAACCCATTGATTGTAGCCATGAAAGCCTTTGACAATATATTGAATTTATTATTATACCTGATTTGAATTCAGTTCATGGCTTCTGGTGCACTCTGGACATTCCTGCGCCTCCCCTTCTGCTTTGCCTAGTTGTTGCTTGAAAGCTTTCCCACATTGTGAACAAGTACGAACATCCTCTGCGACATGGAATTTCTGATGTCGTAGAAGAACAGAGCTTGAGGTGAACATTTTCCCACAGTACGAGCAGCTCAACAGACTTGGTCCTGTGTGACTTCTTGAATGTTCGAGAAGACTGGATTGGCTATTGAAACATTCCTCGCAATCGGAGCATTTAAAGGGATTTTCTTCTGTGTGAATTAACTCGTGTACTACAAGATCGTACCTCCACCTGAAGGTTTTGTCACAGTGGAAGCATGTATACAGTTTCCTTTCCTTGTGTGGTTTTTCTCTCGCGTGGATTCTCTTATGAAGAGTAAGACTCTTTCCCTGGGTAAAGCTTTTTCCGCAGCTGGAACATTTGTGCTGCTTCTTGACTTTATGGACCTTTTGGTGTGCAATGTGCTGCAAAATGTTCTTAAATGTTTCCCCACAGACTGAGCATTCTAATGGTTTCTCTGCGTGCGTTTGTACCCGTGCAACTAGTTCTGAACTGACTTCAAAAGGCACCAACATGCCTGTGGTTGCATGGGTCTTCTCGTGTTCGGCAAGTTCTGTTTTCTGACTGAAGCCTTTCCCACAGTGGGAGCATACTTTTGTGTGCGATATCAAAGACTCCCCGCTGTTCAGACATGTATACGCTTCCTCTCCTGTGTGGATTCTCTGGTGCAATTCGAGAGAGGCATCTTTTAAAAAAGTCAACCCACAGAACGAACACCTTCTGTGTATTCTTTCGTGCTTTAAAAGGTCTGATTTCCGACCCCACTGTTTCCCACATTTTGAACATGTGTAGGTTTTGTCTTCTGCTTGGGTTTCGTCTTTTTGGTTCCACCAACTTGTATTTCCACAGTGGGAACACCGACACGGCACCTGGTTTTTGTGGGTTCTCTCAAATTCCCCACAGTGGGAACATTTATACATTTTCTCGCCCACGTGGGCTCTCTCGTGGGTCATAAGATCTGAACTGCTACTGAAGCTTTCGCCGCAATTCCAACATGTATATCTCTTCTCCTCGACATCAGGATCTTCCTGAATGATCAGGTGAGAGTCCTGGCCATTTTTGTCATATTTCTCTTGTTTATCTCCGCAGATATTTTGGCCCACACCTTGTGATGAAACAACTGGATCCTCCACCTCCCCCTTGAAATTTCCATTGTCTTTGTAAGCCCTATCCTTGCTCTGATCAGGTTCACTCTGACATAGAAAACTGTTTTTTTTGTCCGTTGTTGTAGATGTTATCAGTTGCTCCATACCTTCTGTAGTCCCATGTTGGGGGTTTAGCTCCTCACTTTCAGTCAGCCCTGCACCACCATCTGAGAGAGAGAAAAACAGAGAATATAGATGTGTTTTTTTTTAAAAAAAACTATTTTCCCTTACTTTGGAAAAGGAAGCATTCAGGGACAACCAATTCCAATGGTTGTCGAAGGCTTTCATGGGGAGGGGAGGGGCTGTTTCTGAGACTCCAAGCGGTGAGGGGAGAGCAGCTGTACTTGGCGTATGGCAGCATGTGTGAGCGAGGGAGAGCGTGCGAGGCTGGTGGGAGGCTCTCACCAGCGAGTTCCTTCAAGGCATGGGGGTTCTGTGTGGGAAGTTTGGCCCAAATCTACAGTTGGTGGGGTTCAGAATGCTCTTTGACTGTAGATGAACTATAAATCCCAGCAAGTACAATGTCAAGGTCTATTTTCCCCAAACTCCACCAGTGTTCACATTTAGGCATATTGAGTATTTGTGCTAAGTTTGGTCCAGATCCATCATCGGTGGGGTTCAGAATGCTCTTTGATTGTAGGTGAACTGTAAATCCCAGCAACTACAACTCCCAAATGTCAAGGTCTATTTCCCCCAAATTCGACCAGTGTTCACATTTGAGCATATTGAGTATTTGTGACAAATTTGGTCCAGATCTATCATTGTTTGAGTCCACGGTGCTCTCTTAATGCAGATGAACTACAACTCCAAAACTCAAGGCCCATGAAATCCTTCTAGTATTTTCTGTGTGGCAAGTTTGGCTCAATTCCATTGTTGCTGGAGTTCAGAATGCTCTCTGATTGTAGGTGAACTATAAATCTCAGCAACTACAATTTCCAAATGACAAAATCAGCCCCACCCCAACCTCACCAGTATTCAGATTTGGGCATATCGGGTATTTGTGCTGGAGGTTTAGCAAAGCTGGTAAATCATCAGCAATTATAAGATCTATCAACCAAAAGGTTGCAAGTTTGAAGTCCCGGGTTGGCATGAGCTGCCAACTGTCAGCCTAGCTCCTTGTTTACCTAAGCAATTCCAAAATAGCTTTAGCTGTGATTAGATAAATTAGGTACCGTTAAAAGCAGGGGAGGTGCTTTACGATGCCATAAAGAAAGAAGATCAGAAAATGCTGGGTGACCAAAAGGAAGGAGGAAGTCCCAACGGCTCTTTGTCATAGAGGATAGAGCAACAGCACCCCCTGGACTTGAGCCCAACCTTCGGTGGCACCAAAAACAGCTGAAACAAACCACCTCCTTCTATTCTGTCTGTATATTGTCTATACAAAGCGGCATTGAATGTTTGCCGTGTATATGTACTGTGATACACCCTGAGTCCCCTTCGGGGTGAGAAGGGTGGAATATAAATAAAGTGTTGTTGTTATTATTATTATTATAAATTTGGTCCAGTCAATGAAAATACATCGTGCATATCAGATATTTACATTATAATTCATAACAGTAGCAAAATTACAGTTATGAAGTAGCAATGAAAATAATTTTATGGTTGGAGGTCACAACACGAGGAACTGTATTAAGGGGTTGCAGCATGAGGCTTAGAAACACTGTCTTAGGTTGTGCTTTCGATCCAATATAGACCCTGGCTCCCTGTGGGCTACTTCATGTCCCTGCTGACAGCTAGGCTTTATGCAAAGGATGCATTGGTGAACTCAGGTTCTGATTTTTGACTGAAACCTTTCCCACAGAAGGAGCACATTACTGTGTGTGGATTCCTTCATGATATCTCAAGTGTGATTGCCTGTTATCTCAAGGAGAGGAGGTGAGATAAAATCTTTCTAATGATGATACAGACAGCAGTAACAATCCCACAGTGGCTCTCACCCCAAACAGCACTAACCAAAACTTTAAAAAGTGCATAGAGTACTACTATATAAAACTATATATATATAACTCACTCTCTCTCTCTATATATATATATATATACAGATAGATAGATATATAACATATATATATACATACATATATATTACATATATAATGCAATATAATACAATACAATATAATACTAGTAATAATAATACAATATTATAATTATATATTTACATTACATGTAATATTACTAATAATATTACAATATAATGGTATAGTGCAATATAGTAATATATAATACTGATATTGTACTATGCTAATAATATAGTATATTGTATGAAAATATATCTTGTAAGCAGCTCTGAGTCCCCTTCAGGGTGAGAAGGGTGGCATATAAATGCCGTAAATAAATGAATACTTTAAATGCAACTTGCTTTGCAAGACCTCATGCAGTTTCAAAAAGGTGTGAGAGGGAAAAGTGCTTCCCGAATGGATCAGGGGCTGAACAGAAGGCAAAGCTGAACAAGTATGATGTTGAGGAGCACCGAAAACATGACAGGAGCAGAGAAAATGCCAAGGAAAAGAGGAAAGGCACCAGAGCAGAGGACTCGGGCAAAGATGACACTTCTCTTGGTGTTAAATGTAGCAGGTTCTGGAGAGACTTACCCAACACATGTTCACTCCCAGCACCTTTGTACTCATCCTTGATTAGAAGTTCCATGTTTGGGTCCTTTGCTTCAGGGGGATCTACAAACTCTTTTTTGAACACCTCTGTGATCTGGAGGAGAGGATGGAAATCAAATCAAAATAATGTGTGTACAGCTCAAAGGCAGACATAACGATTTAGCTCTGTTTTGACATACAAATTCTTAGATAATAATAATAATAATAATACTTTATTTATACCCCGCCACCATCTCCCCAAGGGGACTAGGGGCGGCTTACATGAGGCCAAGCCCTACAATACAGTGCAGCAATGCTAATAACAACATACAACGACAATAAAATAAAAATAAAAATAGATAAAATACAAAAAACAATATAAACCATATCAAACAATATAAAATCACAATTAAACACAGAAAATAAATCACAGTGGGCAGGGTGAGTAGCAAGGAATTCAAATTTAAAACACTGGGTGAGAAGGCAATGTAATGCATCTGAACAGGGGATCACAGGGACAAAAGTAGGATTTAATTGCACTAGTAGGTAAAAAATAAAGTGCTTCCAAGGGCATTAGATCAGACATTTTACTTCTAATGAATGTTCCCCTCCCTGCCGTCCTTCTGGCAACATGATAAAACCTTTTTATACTGTTAGGCTTTTAAAGAAGGTTTTTAGGATCAGTTCACGGGGTGCTGTGGGTGGGATTGGGAGGAATATGAGTTTTAAATACCATTTTAGTATATGCCACTTTTCTCTTTGCATAACAATAATAACAAAGCCCAACAAGAATAAATCTTGGTGTCTTGGTTTTTAGGCCTGGTTTTCTGTGGGTGAGAAGGCAACAGGCATACGTTCTGTATCTCAAAAACTAAAACTGAAAGGGGGAAACTTGTAGCATTTTTGGAATCAGCAAGTCAAATATGCCCAGAAACAGGACTAACATTTGAGGCAGCAAAATGTGTGTTCGCTATTATTATTGATAAATATATACTCCACCTTGATCTTAGTATAGGATTCAAGGATTCACAATACACTTGAAAACAAAGGATATTCAAAGACTACGCAGAAAAAAACCACCGCAAATTGTGGTCAAAAAGAATACCTGGAAAACAATACGCTATAGATACAACACATTTGATTAAAGGTGTAAGGAGACGTTTATGATAATGTTTTTTGGGTTTGTACTGTTTTTATACTATATGCTAAATGTTTTAATAGTATTTATGACTGCTTAAATTGTCTTTTAATTGTTTTGGCATTGAATTTTTGCCAACTGTGAACCGCCTTGAGTTGCCTCCAGCCTTAGAAAGGCAGTATACAAATATGGTAAATAATAAAAAAAATAAAATAAAAACTGAAATCCTCCCTAAATAAAGAGGTCTTTTCCTGTTCAGATGAAGACACCGGATAAGCAAAAAGGTCAAGGCTACTGAGTGTTTGGGTTGTACCTTGTGACTGTGAAGACAACAGGACTTTGAGAAGACCAACTGGAAAATAAACACTCACCTGCCCTTCCCAGTCTTTGGGCCCTTGATGCATCAAAAGGAAATCCTCTGCCAGGGCCACAGCCTGGGAGCAGGTTTGTGGACAGTGCCCCCTCAGCCATTTCTGCATATCTGGGGGCAGGGCAGCCAGGAACTGCTCCAGCGTCACCAGGTCCAAGATCTGTTCCTTGGTGCGTCTCTCCGGCACCAACCACTTCTGGCAGAGTTTCCGGAGATTCCCCCAGAAGTTTCGGGGCCCTTCGGCTTCTTGGTAGATCAACATCCGAAAATGCTGGCGCTGTATCTCCAACTCAACAGCACCTTTACCTGCTGTTTCCTCTTTCCCAGAATGTGTGGCATCCAGATGGCTTTCATCATCCATAGTCATTGTCTGAAGCTCCTGAGGGTGAGATTGTTGGAGCGTCTCCCCTCCAGAAGGAGGAGACTGTAGTGTTCTCAGAAACTTTTCCAGCTGAGCATCCCAGATCCTTGATGGCTCTTCTTCTGACTCCTGTTTTACTGTTTGTTCTGATTCTCCTCCACCACTTCCCCCTTTTGGTAGAGGTGCTCCTACTTTGGCCTCTTCTGATTCAGGACCTATTGAATCCTCCACCTCCATTTTTATTACTGGACCCAGAAATCCAGTGGACCCTCTTTCTTGTATTGCAGCCATTTCCTTTCCAAAGAAACCTGTTTTGTGCCTCTCTGCCTGCTTTTTAGCACCAGTCCTTAGGTTGTCTTCTTCTCGTAACATTCAAAAAGTCAACTCATCCAATGACACACTTCTTCAAGGAATGCAGCTAAATGCCCAGGACTTGATAAAATCTGTGTGAGCCAGCCATTCCTCCAGAAGATACACCTGCCTTTTGCTCCTAAGAGAAAAACACAGGCTGTTAAATTGAAGTCTAAAATGTCTGAGAATTTTTCTGTTAAAGATGGGCAAATAAGAAGTGAGTAATCTCCAATCTACAATATAATACACTAGCCGTCCCCTGCCACGCGTTGCTGTGGCCCACATGGGGTTCTGTGTGAGGTTTGGCCCAATTCATTATTTGGGGGGGGGGGGTTCGGAGTGCTCTTTTATTGTAGGTGAACTAGACATCCTAGTAACTACAACTCCTAAATGTCAAGGTCTATTTCCCCCAAACTCCATCTGTGTTCTTATTTGGGCATATTGAGTATTCGTGCCAAGTTTGGTCCAGATTCAACATTGTTTGAATCCACAGTGTTCTCTGGATGGAGGTGAACTACAATTCCAAAACTCAAGGTCAATGCCCACCAAACCCTTTCAGTATTTTCTGTTGGTCATGGGAGTTCTGTGTACCAAGTTTGGTTCAATTCCATTGTTGGTGAAGTTCAGGTGAACTATAAATCCCAACAACTGCAACTCCCAAATGACAAAATCATTTTTTTTTTTGAGTGATGGTCACTCCTTGTGTTGTGAGACGTTTTGTTGCCAAATTTGGTGCGATTTCGTTAACTGGTTCTTTTGTTTTTAAGGTACTCATTATGTACAGAGCATTTATATATGTATAATGTAATACACTATAAAACTAATAATAATAATACAATATTATCAGGCATCATCTTAGAAAGAGACAGTCCTTCTAAGACAAGGGAGAGGATAATGCTTGTTTGTTGTTGTGCATTCGTTCAGTCGTCTCCGACTCTTCGTGACCTCATGGACCAGCCCACGCCAGAGCTCCCTGTCGCCGTCACCACCCCCAGCTCCTTCAAGGTCAGTCCAGTCACTTCAAGGATGCCATCCATCCATCTTGCCCTTGGTCAGCCCCTCTTCCTTTTGCCTTCCACTTGCCCCAGCATAATTGTCTTCTCTAGGCTTTGCTGTCTCCTCATGATGTGGCCAAAGTACTTCAACTTTGTCTCTAGTATCCTTCCCTCCAGTGAGCAGTCGGGCTTTATTTCCTGGAGGATGGACTGGTTGGATCTTCTCGCAGTCCAAGGCACTCTCAGAACTTTCCTCCAGCACTACAGCTCAAAAGCATCGATCTTCCTTCGCTCAGCCTTCCCTAGGTCCAGCTCTCACATCCGTAGGTTACTAAAGGGAATACCATTGCTTTAACTATGCGGATCTTCGTTGCCAGTGTGATGTCTCTACTCTTCACTATTTTATCGAGATTGGATTGCTCTCCTCCCAAGAAGTAAGCGTCTTCTGATTTCCTGGCCACAGTCTGCATCTGCAGTAATCTTTGCACCTAGAAATACAAAGTCTGTCACGGCCTCCACATTTTCTCCCTCTATTTCCCAGTTGTCAATCATTCTTGTTGCCATAATCTTGGTTTTTTTATGTTTAGCTGCAACCCAGCTTTTGCGCTTTCTTCTTTCACCTTGATTAGAAGGCTCCTCAGCTCCTCCTCGCTTTCGGCCATCAGAGTGGTGTCATCTGCATATCTGAGGTTGTTAATGTTTCTTCCAGCAATTTTCACCCCAGCTTTGCATTCATCAAGCCCTGCACATCGCATGTGTTCTGCATACAAGTTTAAAAGGTTGGGTGAGAGTATGCAGCCTTGCCGTACGCCTTTCCCAATCTTGAACCAGTCTGTTGTTCCGTGGTCAGTTCTTACTGTTGCTACTTGGTCCTTGTACAGATTCCTCAGGAGAGAGACAAGGTGGCTTGGTATGCCCATACCCACCAAGAACTTGCCACAATTTATTATGATCCACACAGTCAAAGGCTTTAGAATAGTCAATAAAACAGAAATAGATGTTTTTCTGAAACTCCCTGCCTTTCTCCATTATCCAGCGGATATTGGCAATTTGGTCTCTCGTTCCTCTGTCTTTTCTAAACCCAGCTTGAACATCTGGCAACTCTCGCTCCATGTATTGCTGGAGTCTTCCTTGCAGGATCTTGAGCATTACCTTACTGGCATGAGAAATAAGGGCCACTGTACGGAAGTTGGAGCAGTCTTTCGCATTTCCCTTTTTTGGTATGGGGATATAAGTTGATTATAGTACAATATATAATACTAATATTGTACTATGCTAATAATATAATATATTGTATGTATATATATATATCTTGTAAGCCACTCTAAGTGAGAAGGGTAGCATATAAATGTTGTAAATAAATGAATAAATACATAAATGGAACAAGATTTGGAAAAATACATTCTGTTCCTGGTTTGAACGTGTTATTTCCTGTTTAATTGTGTGGTACTGACTATGAAAATAGTTGTTATACTCCAGAAACTTTGTTTTTGTGGCTGCCACAAAGTGGGCAAAGTTGGGCCCTCCAGGTGTTTTGGACTCCAACTCCCACAATTCCTAACAACCTCAGGCCCTTTCCTTTTCCCCCTCAGCCGCTTAAGCCCAACTTTGCCCATACCTGGTCTAGATGCAGCTGTCCAAATATTTACCTGGAAATTTACTCCCACCACAAGACAGTCAAACAGAAATTCTTGGCAGTCCCCTGGCTTTCTGTGGAAGGAAAGTTAAACCTTGCTTCCTCTTCCGGCTCTCCCTTGGCGCCAAAGAACACTGAGCGGAAAGGGCGGGGCCTGAACAGGAAGCCGGAAGGAACGTTCAGAGGCCCACTTCCTCCTGGCTGGAGGATTAGGCCGCTCTGGGGCCCGCTCTCTATCACCTTAACCCCTCCTTGGCTGAACATTCTCTGGCTGGGGCACTTCTGCTCTATGCTTGTCAATAAATATTGAGTTCAACACACTTTGAACTGCCATGGCTCAGTGCTACAGAATCATGGGATTTGCAGTTTTACAAGGTCTGTAACCTTCTCTGTCAAAGAGTGCTGGGGCCTCACCAAACTATAAATCCCAGAATCATGGGATTTGCAGTTTTACAAGGTCTGTGGCCTTCTCTGTCAAACAGTGCTGGGGCCTCACCAAACTATACATCCCATCATAGAGTTGGAAGAGACCTCATGGACCATCCAGTCCAACCCCCTGCCAAGAAGCAGGAATATTGCATTCAAAGCACCCCTGACAGATGGCCATCCAGCCTCTGTTTAAAAGCTTCCAAAGAGGGAGCCTCCACCACACTCCGGGGCAGAGAGTTCCACTGCTGAACGGCTTTCACAGTCAGGTCTTCCTCATGTTCAGATGGAATCTCCTTTCTTGTAGTGTGAAGCCATTGTTCCATTGCGTCCTAGTCTCCAAGAAAGCAGAAAACAAGCTTGCTCCCTCCTCCCTGTGGCTTCCTCTCACATATTTATACATGGCTATCATGTCTTCTCTCAGCCTTCTCTTCTTCAGGCTAAACATGCCCAGCTCCTTAAGCCACTCCTCATAGGGCTTGTTCTCCAGACCCTTGAGATACCAGTAAGATGTAGTATTTACAAGATCTGTCAAAAAAGAAAAGTTCTGGTTCGTTGCCAAACTATAACTCCCATGATATCATAACTTTAAGCCATAGCAGTTAAGGTGGTGTCAAATATCATTAATTTTGTAGTGTAGATGCACCTTTAGAAGTGGAGATGTTGTCGGGTTTGGCTTGTTCTAACATCAGGCTTCAAGCTGCTGGAATCTTCTCTTTTACACAACCATATAAGATACAGGAGGCCTTTCCATAGGTCGTGGAAAGGCCACCCAGTTCAACCCTCTTCTGACATGCAGGAATAATTATATAAATAAAAATGTAATGTTCATTTGTGGGATTAACATAACTCAAAAACCACTGGACGAATGGACACCAGATGTGGACACAATCAGGCCAACAAGTGACCATCACTCATAAAAACACTGAAAAACACAGTGGAAGAGACTTAAAAAACCAAAAAAAATTTTAAAAATACATTACAACTCATGTACAACTTGATGTTGCAATTCCAGGTGACAGCAGGATTGAAGAGAAACAACTGGAAAAGCTGACACAACATGAGGATTTTAAAACCACATATATACACATTTACACATACATACACACACAAAACACATATACACAGACTGGGCCACAGCAATGCATGGCAGGGGACGGCTAATCTATCTATATAAATAAAAATGTAATGTTTGTTTGTGGGATTAACATAACTCAAAAACCTCTGGATCAATGGACACCAGATATGGACACAATACACCTATCAGGCCAACGAGTGACCATCACTCATAAAAACACTGAAAAACACAGTGGAAGAGACTTAAAAGGCCAAAAAATAAAAAAATACATTACAACTCATGTGCAAAACCACATATATACACATATGCACATACATACGCACACAAAACACATATACACAGATTGGACCACAGGAATGCATGGCAGGGAACGGCTAATCTATCTATATAAATAAAAATGTAATGTTCATTTGTGGGATTAACATAACTCAAAAACCTCTGGACGAATGGACAGCAGATGTGGATACAATACACCTCTCAGGCCAACGAGTGACCATCACTCATAAAAACACCGAAAAACACAGCGGAAGAGACTTAAAAAGCCAAAAGCTTAAAAAATACATTACAACTCATGCGCAAAACCACATATATACTCATATACACATACACACACATAAAACACATATACACAGATTGGGCCACAGCAATGCATGGCAGGGGACGGCTAATCTATCTATATAAATAAAAATGTAATGTTCGTTTGTGGGATTAAAATAACTCAAAAACCACTGGATGAATTGACATGAAATTTGGACACTATACCCCTAACAGACCAACGAGTGACCATCACTCATAACTACCCCCACCCCCCAAAAAACAGCAGGAAGGGCTTAAAAACCCCAAAAAGCTAAATGACAATACAGAAAAAGGGAAGGAAGAGGGAGAGAGGGTAGGAAGGGGAGAAAGAAAGAAGGAATGAGGGAAAGAGGATTTCCCTTCTTCACCCACAGTTCCTTTCTGTGTGTGTTTTCCTTCCCAAGGAGGGTCGGTCCGTCTAGGGTTTAGATGTCCTAGCTGATGCCAACTAAAGTAGGTTAGGGCTGAGATGTAAGCCAGCTGATCTAAGATCTTGGTTGGCTTCTTAAAAAGTACACTTTCCAAGCCCTGCCTCCCAAGGACCTCACATGGTTCACCTATTTATTTATTTCGGTTGCTTCTACCCTACCCTTCTCACCCCGAGGGGGACTCAGGGCGGCTTACAAAAGCAAGACACAATTCAATGCCCGCATTACATAACAACAAGGACAATAACAACAGTTAACAAACAGCAGTTTTAGCAGTAACAATTAACAGGAAGCAATAATTATTAACGGCAAAAACAACCATAAAACCAATAAAAGCACTAAAATCAATACAAACCTCAATGGATGGTCAGCGTTTCACAGACTCATAGTTTAAGTTCCAATTTCCACAAATTGTCGGTCCTATCTTTTCATCTGGTTTCCGTATCTAATTGTCAGGGTGCCCAAAGGCCTGGTCCCATAACCACGTCTTTACCTTCCTCCTGAAGGTAAGGAGGGATGTTGATGCCCTGATTTCCCCCGGGAGTGAGTTCCACAGGTGGGGGGCCACCACTGAGAAGGCCCTGCTCCTCGTCCCCACCAGCCTCACTTGTGATAGCGATGGGGTCGAGAGCAGGGCCTCCCCAGATGATCTCAGATTCCGGGGTGGGACATAGAGGGAGATACGTTTGGACAGATACGCTGGACCGGAACCATAAAGGGTTTTGTAGGTCAGAACCAGCACCTTGAATTGTGCTCGGAACTGAATCGGCAGCCAGCAGAGCTGACACAGCAGGGGGGTGGTGTGCTCCCTGTATGTCGCTCCGGTGAGCAATCTGGCTGCCGCTCGCTGGACCAGTTGAAGTTTCCGAACAGTCTTCAAGGGCAACCCCACGTAGAGTGTGTTGTAGTAGTCTATACAGGATGTAACATATTCCAAAAATACTTAACGAAGAGCATATAAGGAAAACTGGAGTTTGGCTCATGCTAGATCTCTGTCCCAGTGATGTTGCCACATCACAGGATTTCTGGGAAAGAAGAAACCTGTTTTGCTTGTTGCAGACGTGGTTTCCCAGACACTGACATGCTCTGAGTTGACTGGAAAAGGAGAGGTGCGTTGCTCAAGTAGTGGGACAACAAGCGCAGCTTTGGTAGGTGATTGCCTTCTGGAGAACCAGTCTTGTGCAAAGTGGGGAGGTATAGTACCAATTTCTTCTGGGAAGAGATACAATAAGGTTTTGAAGACCTCACAACCTATGAGGATGCTTGCCATAGATGCAGGCGAAATGTCAGGAGAGAATGCTTCTAGAACATGGCCATATAGCCCGAAAAACCTACAACAACCCAGGTTTTGAAGTGTTTGGAGGTACAGGGTGGTAAATTTAGTCTTTCATACCCATGGATTTTGCATTTATTTATTTATTTATTATTACTGCGCTGTTTCTCAGCCTAAATTGGCGACTCAACGCGGTTTACAACACTACAACAATCAACAATATTCAATTTAAAAAGCATAAAAAACACAGACACAGTACACAGTATTGGGCCACCAATAACAATCCAATGCATCTCTTAACTAAAATCGCAATCCAATTTCATCGTCTGTGATTACCAGTCCTTTGATCATCAAATTCGTTGCACCGGATTAACCGAATGCTTGTTTGAACATCCATGTCTTCAATCTTTTTCGAAACACCATCAGCGAGGGGGCTGATCTTACCTCTATGGGGAGGGCATTCCAAAGCCGAGGGGCCACCACAGAAAAGGCCCTGTCTCTCGTTCCCGCCAGCCGCACTTGTGAAGCAGGCGGGATAGAGAGCAGGGACTCTCCAGAAGATCTTAGGGTCCTGGTGGGCTGATAGGCTGAGATACGTTCGGATAGATAAGTTGGGCCAGAACCGTTTAGGGCTTTAAAGGCCAACGCCAGCACTTTGAATTGAGCCCGGTAGCAGATTGGCAGCCAGTGGAGCTGGTGCAGCAGAGGAGTTGTATGCTCCCTGCGCTCCGCTCCAGTTAGTATCATGGCTGCCGCCGTTGGACTAATTGGAGCTTCCGGGCCGTCTTCAAAGGCAACCCCACGTAGAGAGCGTTGCAGTAGTCTAAACGGGATGTAACCAGAGCGTTGACTACCGTGGCCAAGTCAGACTTCCCAAGGTACGGGCGCAGCTGGCGCACAAGTTTTAATGTGCAAATGCTCCCCTGGTCACCGCCGAAAACTGGGGTTCCAGGCTCAGCGATGAATCCAGGATCACTCCCAAGCTGCGAACCTGCATCTTCAGGGGGAGTGTAACCCCGTCTAACACAGGTGTAACCCTATACCCTGTTCGGCCTTGCTACTGACCAGGAGTACCTCTGTCTTGTCTGGATTCAATTTCAATTTGTTCGCCCTCATCCAGACTCCAGAAGGGCCCCAGGGCGTCCCAGCCTCCTTAGTAGCAGGTGGAAAGGAGTGACAGAGTTGGACATCATCCGCGTACAGATGGCATCGCACTCCGAAACTCCGGATGATCTCACCCAGCGGCTTCATGTAGATGTTAAACAACATGGGAGACAGTATTGAACCCTGAGGAACCCCACAAGACAAAGGTTGTGGGGTAGAACAGGAGTCTCCCAGTAACACCT